CGCCTGTACTCACCTGCCTGTACTCACCTGCCTGTACTCATCTGCCTGTTCTCACCTGCCTGTACTCACCTGCCTGTACTCACCTACCTGTACTTGCCCTGCTACCTGCCTGTTCTCACCTACCTGTACTCACCTGCCTGTTCTCACCTGCCTGTACTCACCTACCTGTACTCACCTACCTGTACTCACCTGCCTGTACTCACCTACCTGTACTCACCTACCTGTACTCACCTACCTGTACTCACCTACCTGTACTCACCTACCTGTACTCACCTACCTGTACTCACCTACCTGTACTCACCTACCTGTACTCACCTACCTGTACTCACCTGCCTGTACTCACCTACCTGTACTCACCTACCTGTACTCACCTGTACTCACCTACCTGTACTCACCTACCTGTACTCACCTACCTGTACTCACCTACCTGTACTCACCTACCTGTACTCACCTGCCTGTACTCACCTACCTGTACTCACCTACCTGTACTCACCTACCTGTACTCACTACCTGTACTCACCTACCTTTATCAACCTGCCTGTACTCACCTACCTGTACTCACCTGCCTGTACTCACCTACCTGTACTCACCTACCTGTACTCACCTACCTGTAGTTCATTCCTCATTCCCGCAGGTCACCTCCTGTGATCCGTGTACTATCTTACGACGTCTCTCAGCTCAGTCACATATATATATGCCAGCTGTCGTACGAGCCAGACATGTGACTCTTCCGGCATTCCTTGTAGAGGTTGAGGGGACATGACGGTGGGGACACATTCTCCAGCACAGGACCTCACTAGACGGGTGCCGGCACTGTCTTGAAGGGCCTCGTCGTCTCCGTCGTCTTCTCGTTTAAGGTCGATCGTATGTAGTGTAACGGTTGTTGATGTTCAGCTCATCTGGGTATGGGAGATGTGCGTCTCTCTCTCTCTCTCTCTCTCTCTCTTCTCTCTCTCTCTCTCTCTCTCTCTTCTCCTCTCTTCTCTCTCTCTCTCTCTCTCTCTCTATCTCTCTCTCTCACTCTCTCCTCTCTCTCTCTCTCTCTCTCTCTCTTCTCTCTCTCGTCTCTCTCTCTTCTCTCCTCCTCTCTCTCTCTCTCTCTCTCTCTCTCTCTTCTCACTCTCTCTCTCCTCTCTCTCTCTCTCTCTCTCTCTCTCTCTCTCTCTCTCTCTCTCTCTCTCTCTCTCTCTCTCTCTCTCTCTCTCTCATCCAGGCAACCCATCCTATTGTTTAGATAGTATCTATTGCGACTATCGTCAATAGTCACGAATTCGCACTTACTTAGTTTTTAGATAGTAGTATACTGACTAGTAAGGAATTCTTGAAAAATAATGAAGCTAAACACAAGCTTAAATATTTCTAAGCCTAGTATATAGTACACATATGTACTATATTAGGCCTCGGATATCGTGTAATAGGACTAGGAAGGTTAGGTTAGGGTAGTTTGGCAAAGCAACACATGTAAAAATAGTTTTCCAAAAATTGTTCAAGTCAAGAGTGCAGAGTTATACGTTCTAATTTCGTTCTTCGTTCGCTATATATACTATGGTCCTGATCGTTACTATAAGTACCACCACAACAGGAGGATGGGCTAGTAAAATTATATATATATATATATATATATATATATATATATATATATATATATA